ATCCAGAAATATCTAAAGAAAATATTGAAGATTTAAGAAAATGGATAGCAACACAACCACATTTACCACAAAACATCCCAGGTGAGTCATTTTTTAAAACTAAAATAACAATAATGTTTKAAATATACAAGGTTTTTAACTGTTGTTCTTCATTATTTAATCAATTAAAGTGTATGTCGGTGTTACTGGTGTTAGYAATGAGTTTWAAAAAAAATCTTACATAGGTACGTAATTTATTTAATTTAAAGTTTCACTCTAATTATATACTTACAACAAGCAGATTATTGATCTGGTACATACAAGTAGGTATGATCATCACAAATTCAACTTTATAATTATTGTAATATATATGTAGGCATGTCCAAAGTATAATTCTTAAATTTTTATTAATTATAAACTTGATAATAATATAGGTACTCATATTCGATGCCCACCATATCATAGGTATTTTATTAAGTTATAAATACTATTAAATGTCAACGAATTTTGAAAACACATGAAGATTATATATGTACCTTAATGCTTTCATTACTTAAGTCGGATTTATTTATGTATTTTTTAAATTATCAACACCCTAATTATAAACAATACAAATAGGTAAGTCATTATTATAGCACCTTTATAATAAGTAGGTGTAAGTATACTTAAAGAACCTACAATCTACTTAATTTTATACAAAATAAATGCACGTTGATATATTATTTATTTTATATGATATCATTTAATATTATRAGTATTTATAATATTAACAGTGCTATTTTATGAACTTTTTTTAGAATGAAAAGATAATTGAATTCTCAAGAAAGTATTTTTTAGTACATACTTATATAACGTAAATTGGGTTGTGCTTGATTATTATTTGCATTTTCTCTATATATTATTTCGAGAAATCATATTATTCTTATTTAATGGTTATTAAAATTGTCTTTGTTATATTTTAATGATATTATAATTATTATCAGGCTTAATATATTTAAATTCCATTATGATTCAATTCCTTTATACAGAATACTGAATATTTCTTATTAAAATATCCATAGGAATAGGTAAGTAACTTATGGACTATAGTCTATAATTATTATGCCGTTAATGAATATCCATCATTATGAATTATTATGTTAATACATTTGAGATTTTATTCATTGAATAGGAGGTATATAATTATGTTGACAAAATATAAAATATAAAATAACATTAAATATAAAAAACAATTTTAAGCACCTAAACAATGTTTATTTCATAAAAATAAATGTTGAACAAAAACACGATAAAGATGCATTTTTTAATAATATTGTTAAACGTTAAAAAAATTGGATAATTTCATCAATCGATACTTTTATTTTTTTAATTTATACATATAATCGTTGATTATTTTAAGACCGTGAAACTGTTACTTGTATGTATGTATTTAAGACTTGTGCTGCTTTTATTAGAGAGATTAACTTTTGTTAAAATTTGTTGTTAATTGTTTTAATATTTTGTAATTTCCGTATTTTTTTTTTAATTTTCAATAATCATAATTAAATGGGGTTAATGATTTAATGTATTACAATTTTTACACAATATCTAATTATAATTCAATTTAAGCTTTAATTGACATTATAAGAAAAACTATAATATATATTAAATGTGTTTGTTAACAATTATTTATGCAATAAGTTCATCATATACTTTCAATGTATTAATTCTACTCATGTATTAAGAAGTATTTATATTTAAATGAACTATTGTACTCGAACAGTAAGATAAATATAACATTTAGTATATATTTAAATCAACATAAAGTTGTCGCTTACCTTCAGATTTTCATTCGAACTATACATATTTATAGGTCCTTATGTTAGTATCAAGGTTTTTTTTTTAGATTTACTTGAATTAATGATCTTATAGTAATATAGTATTACAATTTACAGTTTTTTTTTTTATGAATTCATAAGAATGAACGACTGATTTATATAAAGACGTGATTTTAATTAGTAAGCATTATTTATATTTATTGTACTACGTCGTGTGCATTTTATTTGTAAGTATAACATTACAAACCATTTCATTTACGTTGGGATATGTTGAAATAGTATAATAAAAAAATAAATTACYAAGTAGTATAATATTATAATATAACAAGTTAGATATTACTATATGATCTACCGTCCTACCGAATAAAGTAAATTCGTAATCATTTTACCATTTTATTTGCAAATTGACCTTAGGTAGGTACCTAATATGATGAAGAAGCAGTTGCCTCTATAGGAATTATTGCCATATCAGTAGCCTTCTTTTTAGGTACAAATGAAAAAAAAAGACCTTTAGGGAATATTGTAATTTGTAATTATTATCCAATGACTTGSAGAMACAAATATTTTTGGAAATGATCGTTTATTTTTAGTTGCAATTTGGGTAATTTTAAGTTGACATTTTGGAAATTTGAAATTGTTTTGTAGATTAAATCAGATAAATACATAACGTCTACTTAAATACACTTTATATACGTATGTTATTTGTAAATGATTAAAGTCGGAAAGTAAATATGTCTCGTCTAAAGTTAAACAATTGTTTTTACATCATATAAGTACGTAATCTCTTATTATATTACAGATAAATCCAAATACACATTTAAAAATTTAAATATTGGTGTATTGACGTAGGTACATAGTAAATAATGGTAACAAAAATATTAAATTAAGCCTGTTTTATCGTTTTGTGTTCCAAAATGTATAAACAATAACTTTATTAGTTAATTTGATAATATATTTTGTACAGTCACGATATATTGATCATATATAAATAAGAAATGTATGTACGAATTGGTTATCTAACCAGTACAAATATACTTAATAAATTGTAAGTTTATTATTAAGTTTATTTACCTTTTATTATTTACCAACAAGCTAAAAAGAAAATGTTTCAAAATATTGTGGCATTTYCATTGTGTATAATAACAAGCATATTCCAAATTATATAATACGGAAATATGCAATTATTTTGTTTATTTTTGATTCATAAACAKAATTGAATTATTAATCACGTTTATAGCTTAAACTTTTTTAGGAAATTGAATACACCAAACAACCAACTGTACAAAGATACAGACAATAAAGTATAAACATACATTTTGCTTCAAAAAAGTCCTTCTAAGAGAATTATAAAATTAGAATTTTAATTTTATAAGCTTCGGTTTTTCAAATGAGAACCCTTTTTACCGTACATTATTGAATACAGTGCTTTTAAAACTATTTTTAAAATGAAAACACTGATAATTTAGATCCATAAAAATGGCGAAACACTTGAAATAATTGCTGGATTTTTGAAAAAGTAACAAATAAGACCTATATCTGTTTAATAAATTAAAAATGAAACTTTATTMACAATTGTTTTTTCTTATCTGTGGTTTTTACCATCACGTCATAATGCTATAATAATAATGTCACATATTTATATTTTGAACATGCAGGTACAAAACAAATGAACAATTGCTTTGGTTACACAAATCAAGTTAATTTGTGACTTACTATAGTGTCGCGATACACCAGTTGAGAACCACTGGTTTAGAGAATAATTTTTCTGAAAATACTGATGTGCCTTATTCAAAATTCGCATAAGCAGTTACTATAGTTTGTCAGTTATTAAAATATTTATTTTTATGATGATAGTTTTTAAAATTTGTCTTACAAAAATATAAAACAGATGTAATATTGAATCTAGTGAATCACTCTGTATATATAGAATATAAATGTTTGTTTTGCATGATTTTTAAGACTTATCAGGGACATAGCCATGGGGGATCATGTGCAATACTGTTGTAGGTATAATTATTATCTATTTATATTCTATTCTATGAGAATCTCGATGTATAACGTATAAATATTATAAACAGTGACGTATTTAGGGGGACCTGGAGGTACATTTTTAGGTTCATTAAATTTTGTGGATCATTTTGTTATAATACGGCACCTAGGTCATTTGGGTGATAAAAAAAAGTAATGTCACTCAGAGACTAATAAACTATCGTGTTTTTTTTTACGAATACACATATTGCTAAAGAAATTTACATTGGAAGGGAACGTTTTTTCTTCTTACCTGTGGCGTAAAATTCCTATATACGTCTTTGATTATAAACAATATCTAGACACCTATAACATAATTAATCGAAGTTCATCACTGTTTATTTTTTCAGAGGAAATGCTGATACTTTTTTACCATAGCTGCTTTTTTGATATGGAACAAACCAAAAGTTGCATAGAAGTTTACTACACACTCAAAACAGAAACTCCAGAATTTTTTGCGAATCGTGACGTTTTTAGACCAGAACTCGTTAATGCCCTCAATGTCTTGTAAGTAAAGTTATTCCATTTTTCTCCTTCGTGGTGTTATTTCTACAACCGTTTAATATCTTTGAACTTTTGAAAGCTATATTTAATGTTTAGTATACTGTGTAGCTAACTTGTATAATATAGAGTTGACAGTTGAATTATCTTACCTCCATATCCATTAAGTTTTAATAACTAGGTAAATAGGTATATATTATTTTATTTAGTGTACCTACTGAAAACTGGTTTATTTTAATTCATTATACATAAATCGTGATTTGTGACTTATTGATTTATAATTTTAAAATAATATGTTTGTTATAGTTTTTAATTTTATTATTGATAATTTTTTTATTGYACATRGATAAAAACTATGCGTTGTGTATAATACCTTAACAATTTAACATTTAAAAATCCCGAAATAAAAATATATGGTATTTAGTATTCACTATTTCAATTATTATTATTTGTAATAAATTATTTCTTCAGGTTTTTAACATCGAAGGCATGTTAGGAATGGCGGGCGTTTTGTTACAGCCTGCAAATATGTAAAAATGTTTTCATTATAATAATATGACATGCCTATAATATTATATAGTATGTACTATGTATAATGCATGCCTATAACTGATAATAAATAAGTGGTCTAAGTTGGACATTATTAATATTGACAAAGCATGAGTATAGGTATTAAACATAAATAAATAGGAAATGTTTGGATTAATTTTTACATGCACAGTAAACCAACTTACTTCTTAGCTACTCTTATAAATATAAAAAGAATATTATGATATTTAAATGTACCTAACTAGTAACTATGTAATTTTAGTATAACATGTTAAGTAACACTATTTGAGTTATGATTAGTTCTTTGCAATAAGTATTGTTTGAATTGTTTTAAAATTAATTTCTAACGAGTAAAATATTTATTACAGTTTTAACGAGCAGAGTAGTAGATCAGCAAATAAAATTCTTCTGTAGAATAGGACATAAAAAAAAAATTAAAAAATTGTAACGATAAAAAAGTGTAATGATTTTATATTATTTCAAAAACTTAATAGTTCTTGAAAAAATCACCCTGTATAGGTGATTGTGTACCTGCAGTTTTCGACAGGAAACCACCGATTGAACTGTAGGTTATTTTTTCTCGTCATATAAATGTAAATTACAGGTCATATTTCAAGAGAGGCCAAAATCCATCATATACTTTTATTGTTTAGTGTAAAAACAAAAGTATAACAACAGCAGAGTCATAAATAGCATACAAAATTAAAAACTGWTAGTACAGCATGGRTTTGGATTAAACTTTTAACAGTTCATTAAATTTTTGAGTTATTTCTAGGTTCTAGCTTAAAATAGAAATGTTTCTAAAACTGTTAAAAAGCGTAGGTATTGAAATATTGTTAAACACCCACGAGAAAACACAGGTAATCTTTTTAGCTTTAAGCTTGATAATATTTACTCAATTGTTAAAGCTTACTAAATGTCTACTCATCGTTGGAACTGCTGAACACGAATATCTGCTGTTTTGCACGTGTGGATGTTGCAGGCATCCTCTTAACTGCCATTGATAAAAAAACTAGGTAATTTAAAACCAGTTCGAAAACATATGGAAATAGATAACCAGGAAATGATTTGTGTATTTAGTTTGGCCTCAACAGATAGAAAAATGTAATGATTTTAAAATCCAAAACTCAAAAATCGAAATAAATGGAAGGTAACAACTTTTGGGTCAAAAATCAATAATTGAAACTCATTTCAATTTATTGCTTTTTGTATCTTAGAACATTCATAACTATTAACTGTACTATCACTAACAAACCCTTTTCTCGAATTATCGTGCGAAAATTATAATGATATATTTTATAAATATTGTATTAACTACGCCTAACTAGAAAATGTTCGCATATTATGTTTTGTTACACACTATACACACGGCGTTTATTTTTAAATAACTTAGGACTTGAGTACCTAACACTTAATATAGCTACCCCGGGATGCACTGCAAATGAATTTAAGTACGATCTAAACTAATCACGATATTTTCTGTCATCAAATAAAAAAAAAAAAACAGTTTGAAGTTGTGAAAATATTAGCTTATGCAGGTTTGGATTTGGACCATGAGTCATGAATCATGATAGTTGATAGTTGTTAAAGATAGTTAATAAATGGATAATTAATTAATTAATTAATAGATAGTGTTTAAATAATGTTGTTTGCCTCGATGCGTATACCTAACCTAACCTTAAATTAACTTGATATGTAAGTACATAGATATTTTGCCTTTGTTTTATCTTTCTTAGATGTTTGATGAATTGTAATGATGATATGATTAATATTAATTTTAAACATTTTGAAATCTACTCAATAGACTAATATAATATATAATACTATAATAGTAATCAAAAGGTATTATTAAATGGCTATAACATGGATAACGCGTGTGGGTAATTAATTGTATACTGCACAATCACGGTGTGCCGTTTTATTTAGGATGGCTGTAACTAAAAAAATCTCTGAATAATTGAATAATACATTTTTCTTATTTTATGTAACTTAGCGTCCGATGTTATATTATATCATATAATATATCAACCGAATAAAATCATTCGTGTATCGTATGTTGTTATAATTATTAATTATACTTTGATTCAATGGTCGTTGTCATACAATTTATTTATTTCTATAAAATTTAAAGTAAAAAGTTGTCATCCTTCACAATAATAATTATTATAATCCTTGGGTAGGTTATCTACGGCTTTGTGATATTTGAGTAGGAATCACATTTATAAGCGTATGCAATTTCAAATTAGAACTCAATTTGCAATATTGTTACTATATTTATACTTTTTATTATTTTATTTAGATTATAAAAATGTGCTTGCCATAACAGCGCATTTCTATATTTTTAAAATAAGTTAAATAGAATAACACGATAAATTATAGCTATAAGATAATTAAAAGTTTCTGTTMACATAAAAAATTCTTTATTAAATTAATCGTATTGAAAATGTCAGATGAAAGTGTTTTGGTTCTTATTAGTAGGTACTTACTTGGTACTTATAAAATTTTACAACCCACAAAAACTGAATTACTGCAGTAAACATTATAACTTCCTAGTTCTTCTAACTAATCTAACCGTGGTAAGACATTTGAAAAATTATCAACGAGGGTACAACAACGTTTATATTTTTGAAATAAGATGATTTATGAACACTGTCTTAATATAAATTTATAAAATCCTTTATTTGCAGAGATTACGGTTGTTTGCCAATCCGCAGCCCAAATGACTATCAAATCATCTACCACAAATTACGAATTTTCGAGGCCAACAAATATGTGTTTAACGACGGCGTAAAATTGTTGATTATGGCAATGGATGCATGCTTCAAGGTGGACGGTACTTGTCCTGGCTATATATTCTTATTTGACATGCGTGGCGTCCGATTGGGCCATCTCACCAGACTGAGCATATCTTCACTCCGAAAATTCTTCACGTTTATACAAGTAGGTATTTACAGGATAAAACATTACGAGACCTAAATTGTAGTTATATCTTAAAATAATTTGAAAGGCGATTTTTCCTAYAGTGAGACACATTTTTCACTATAGATTGTTCACTGCATGCCGAAAAACAATATGTTTTTCGTGTTAAATGCCTAAATAATTTTAATTTTCAACCCCGTTTTTTGTATTGGAATAATTGTATACACAAATCCATAACGTATTATTTTATAGACAATGTAAAAAACCGAATAAAAATATACAGGTGATTTGTATTTTTCCCCGCGACTACCTACTTACCAACCTATTATGTTTGTCCGAATRATTGGACTTTGTAATTAAATTACATGTTTTTGCTGGAAGAGTATTGACAGTATGGTATAATTTCAGTAAATAATATTATAATATAATATAATTAATATTAATATTAATATTTCAGTAAATAATATTATAATATAATATAATTAATATAATAATATCAATATTAATATTATTTACTGAAATTATACCATACTGTCAATACTCTTCCAGCTAAAACATGTAATTTAATTACAAAGTCCAATTATTCGGACAAACATAATAGGTTGGTAAGTAGGTAGTCGCGGGGAAAAATACAAATCACCTGTATATTTTTATTCGGTTTTAGATTCTGAACGAAGTGATGAATGTATTGATTTTACAATGATGTGTTTTTTTTTTGTGTCTCGAATTTTTCTTTTTAATTCTAAGGTTTGAGAATTTAATACAGGCTCATAATATAGTTTTGAAATAACAGTTGAAAAATAAAAGAAAATATATAGCCACATTTTTTTATTACATGCATTCAAATTTTAATTTTGACAACATACGTAAAAATCACGAAAATTCGCAAATTATTATAAGCTAGAAATTCATAAAAAATTTTATTTTTAAATCTAAGATTTGAAAATTTAATACAAGATTCCTTACAAATTTGCCAATCTTTATCACAAAAAAAATGTCCACCGGAAATTCAAATTAAATTTTTATTAGCATTTGAATTTCAAATATTGACAAAAATTCGTCAAAACCATGAATATTTGCAAATTATTTTGTAGTTTAAAATTCATAATATTGTTTGTATTTATATCTAAAGTTATAAAATTTAACACCAAGTTTTCCATAAGTTTTGCTTCAAATAGCTATAGAGAAAATTTGAAGCGTCATTATAGGAAAAATGTTTTGAGCGTTTGAGTTTTAAATTTTTATGAATTCGCGTAATGATAACGATTTATCCTCAAACCAGGTATTCGTATATCTATGATTATCTAAGGTATTATGAATTATGATAACTACATTAATTGATTAACCATGCCTTATGCAAAATGCGTCTTAATTGAAAAATAAAATATTTGTTTCAAAATAGAATATATGACAATATTTAAATATAATATATCCTAGACTGACAAATCATCTCCGTTCAGAATCGTTTTTCGTATACAATGTTACCTATCATTGCATTCAAATTTAATCCCATCCATTACAGTAACCTACTATACAGCAGAGCGACAACCACGACTTACCCGCTTTTTTACATTGTCTATAAAATAATACGTTATGGATTTGTGTATACAATTATTCCAATACAAAAAACGGGGTTGAAAATTAAAGTTACCTAGATAGTTGTTTTACAAAGGCACCCTCTGTCGAAACCTAGGGGGGCGAGGGTGACATTCATTAGTTAAATAACTAGAAAACTAAGAATCAATTAAATTTATTTTATTAAATTATGAAACAAATGTACATTTTTTTTTTTTTTATAATAATTGTTTATGGCATCAACTACATGGTTAATAGCCGGCGTTACATATTAAATTTACATTAATTACTTACATACTTGCTTAGTTTCTACTTATTACCTATTTTTAAAGATTTACATTTTAATCCAAGTTAAAAAATGTACATTTTATATCTGAACAAAAATAAGATTTTAAAGTATAAACTAAAAATTGAGTTTTTTCAACAACTTTTTACAGTTACAATAATATTTCTATGGAGTGACATGTCACCTCTTTCCATCCCCCTGTTGTTGTTTTACCAATTTATTAACTGCATGAAGTTAAATAGATTGTATACATTTCAAAAAAAAACATTATTTGCTATCACTTCTCATTATTGTCCGATCGGCATACATACAATATTTTATTGTTGTTTACTTTTTTTTCTGGTTTTGCGAATGGGTCAAATAAATTAGATCAAGGCTRACAAGAGTCAAGAATACAGAAACGTAAAAATGTACCAACCTATCTAGTATATTGCAGGATACAATATTATAAATGTAACTCTTTTATTTAAAGCAAGTAATGTTGTGTCCTRATGTTTTATTGTCTAACATATATTATATTACAAGTAGCGAGGATTCAATTMAATTAATATAACTAATATTAATATATGTTAAATCACAGCTTAAGATGAYGTCAGCGAACAATGTTCGTTTTCTCTGTTTAACCCGAGAAAACTTTGGGTTCAGCAGAACCAGTTTCATGTTATCATCTTTATAGAATTGATTTGCCAATTACCTAACTTATAAGATAATAATAATAACATATCGTCTGGGGCTTTCGTTGATATTTAAATATTAAAATTATGAGTAATTATGAACATTTTTATTAATACAYACAACTCGATAATTACAACTCGATTTAAAATTAAAATGCCAATTAATGAGGTGCCATCAATAATATTCTCACCTTTAAGTTTGACAATCAGTCATTTTTCTCAAATAACAAAAATACAAAATMGGTTTTACTAATCAAAAATGTGTTTAGTTGCGCTTAGGTCATACATAGAAAACATATTATAAATTGGTACGCTGACACATCCTCTTAAATAATTCTATAGAKATGTTGTAATTATGACTAAAGTATATTTAGTAAAAATGATTTTCGTATCAGCTCTACATTAAAAAATCGTGAATAGGCTCAACTGGATTTTAAATTTATAATTTAGTAGGTAACATAAAAATATTTTTTTTTTGAATATTGTACTTACCTACTATTTATTTGATTTTTATACTTCGATGTTATTATTATGTATAGTAATTAATAACTAACCATCAATTACAACAATCGTGATATCTAATAATTAATAACACTATTCATTTTATTAAAATATAAATTCACAATTTTTCTTTGCCACACGCAATTTAGGTATACTTACATAGGCTACGCTACATAATATTGATTATTGTTTATCATAGTTTCATTTTGAGTGCCTAATTGTTGACATTAAAACGCATTCAATCAACTAAATCTTCTATTATTCTAAAATGTATTGTTTACTTTTTTTTTTTTTACCTCATTCCGTTTATTGAATCCAATGATAACAACGTGTTGTTGTTTACATGTTCGTGTTTACACTAGCTGTTACAGAAATGTCAATTTGTGTATATTATATTATGTTCATCGAATTTAATTGCAAATTAATTATTGGTTATATTTTATTTGGACTTATCGACCAGGAAGTTTAATAACGTGTTCTTAGAACACTATTTCCCTTACTTTATAGGCCAATGTGTATTATCCTATGATGGATATAGGCATATAGCGATATCCAATATTATATTGTATATAGCTACTAAACACTACTTAAATAACAATATCCTCAAAATGAAATTACTCATGTAAAGTAAAATATTTCATCAATAAATAGTTTATACATATCCTTTAATGTACCTATTGCAATAAAAATTCACAGTTTCTTGTTATGAATGGTAAAATAATAAATTCTTATACAATATATCATATGCAATGACCAATATATTAATAGTACCTATCAACCTATCTCTTAATACCTAAGTTGTATTTACAAAACCCATAAAAAATGAAATGCGTGTTGAATTCTGTGACGATATTGGATAAAAGAGAATGGAGTATCTCTAATTAATTGTACTCATTACAATAAATATTAAAAACCAATTATAGGTATTTTATTATCCAAGTGTTACTTTGCTGGAAACTATAAGTTCAGAAATGGTATTTCGCATATTTAGAATATCTACCAAYACTGGCACTAGTGATACTCAACAATATTATGGAAAAAAATGTAATTTGTAACTTTTACTATTGATTTTAATAATAATTTAATRCATTCATAATTATATTGCTAAACGTAAATGTTTTTTGTACAGCCTTGACCTATGGGCCGTATAGTAATTTTGTTGAATATCGTAGTTTAACGAACTGTTAATAATATTATAAGTATTATCCATAACAGATATCTAACATTATATAACGATTGTGCTTAGTCCTAAAAATGTATAAACATATTTGGCAATAACTTGCTTTTAAGAATTTACAATCAATACTATTGAGACTTATGAAAACCATGGTTACAATAATGGTAAATACTTAAATCAGTTGAATCTTGATTAAATGATAAATTATTAAAAATAAAATAAAATCCAAAAATAGGTTTAGTTGGACACTAATTTGTTTAGTTGTGTAAGTGTCAAATGTAATATATAATATAATATAATATAATAAATTAAAATAAAATATTTTTTAAATAGTGTAAGAAGTAACTAAAATAAATTTTGTTTCTTACTATGTTTCGTTATTAATTAAGAATGTATTATTGTTATTCCAGGAAGGATTACCTGTTCGTTTGAAAGGTATACATGTCCTGAACACGCAGTCAATTGTTGACAAGATTATGATGTTGCTGAAACCTTTCATGAAAAAAGAGCTGTTGAGTATGGTAAATAGGAATTAATTAATTAATAAAAAAAAAAATTATATCTGCGTATAATATGTAAGCCGAAATGAATACTAATTGCATTTTTTTGGCTTGAGTATTTCTGAACAAAACGCTGTAAATTTAGTTTTTACACGGATGTTTTATCTTAAATAATAATTTTTTTGTAATATTAATTTACTTCACGACATTTCTTAAGCATAGCTTTACCTAGTTCACGGTCCACATATAATGTTTAAACCTACTAGATCTATACATTCCATATAAACTATACAGTCAGAACGTTTATCTACTTTTTTCCCTTTTACTTGTTGATTTCATTATGTGGTAACAATTTTATTTCTGTTGTTTTATTCAATAATTAAAACAAACATATTTTGTACTTTAACAGTTCGAATGCACTCCCTCAAATTTCACTTGACGCGTAACGTGACTTTGCAGAGCAAAACTTTCCAATACTTAATCACTATGGTAAACATTGTACCATAATAAATATTATATTATACTGTTTGGGGCCGCGTTCGCACCAGTCATTTTAACGTTTAAAAGCCAATAATATACAGTCGAACGAAAATAATACGCCGAGGTTTTAGTTGTTTTAAAATTTTTAATCGAATCTCAAGTCTCGAGTGTCTGCATATACTGTTTAATACTATCCGTCCAGTATTCCGGTGTAATCATCACAGTAGATTAGCTCCTTAATTTCTGATATGTCATGATCTAACCGCGTCTGTGCCACGAACCACTATACATATTCCCGTATATATATTATAATATTATACAGTAGTCGGTGCTGGATATCGACAAGGTAGTATTACATCCAAAATCAATAATTTGAATTTGTCAGACTTTGCAGGTTGTATACGTTTTTTACAAAATGACATAAATCGTGTCAATAAATACTACATATTGTATAATAATATGCTATACAACGCAACGCAATAACTAAACCGAGCGGTGGTCAATCATTTTAATGATCCGAACCGGTCGAACTCAATATCTCGCGAGTATACTTTGAAATACCTACGCGACGATACAGCACAGATTTATATGGGCGCATGTGCAATGGCCCTCCCAGTCGAAAAAAAATGGACTTCAAAAACCCAAAATATGATTA